GTTAGTTGATCAGAAGTGAGGGCGTGGGCATACAACTTTTTTCAGCTTTTGTTACTCACACTTCTTTTCTAATTCAACGTCAAGGGTGGAGTCCACCAATCTTTTTATTTGCAGATGAGCCACTAAAACTTAGTTAACTAAATTCCAATGCGTCCCTTCAGGGCAGACTGCATTTACTGGAGTTTAAAGGCAGCCCCGAATGCGTAGATGATATTTATTGCACGAGTCCATGAGACAACACCTTCAAGTTGGTAGGTACAAACGAAAAAGGAAACCACAGTGGAGGCAATCCTGTTCCAGGTTTTCGGGCGGCCCGTGTGATTGACACATGATATCACTGGGGGCGTGTCCTGCAGTGGAGGTGGAGGTGGAGGCTTGGAGCTGAAATTGTGCGGAGCGGGACTCGGTTCGCTCTGCAAAGCACGCAAGGGTTTGCAGGGTGCTAGCCGCAGACCGGGCTCCCTGCCCCGGATCAGGAGCCGCTACATCGCTGTACATGTGCCTGAAAAGCAATTTGCAATCTTTGCACTAGGTAAGAACCGTTTCCTTCTTTTCTTTCCGTAGACATTTTAGAAACGTTCAGGTGGGAAATGTCGGATTTTGCGAGAGCTCAACATTTCTTTGAACTCTAGAGCTGAGAGTACTGGTTGCATTTCAAAACGCCAGCAGCACGCCCACTGCTCCAAGCTCTTAAACTAAATGCTAACACTTAAACGAGCAAGCGGGGTCCCTTTCACTTTTGCCCCCTTAACCCAGCCGTATTAAGTTTAAAGTCGGAATGATCGGATGTGTTAAACCACAGGGCCACTTATGCCGAAGAGGGGCTGGCACTCGGTGTGCCAACCCAATGCGTGTTTGTTTAGGCATTGTTGGCGACAGAATCCCGAGACAAGCAATGGTTTAAAACCTGAATTTCCCGTCCCTCTGTATCGATTTCCAATGGGCAGAGGCGTTGCTTGAACGTTGTTTGAACTCCGAAGGCATTCCAAGGCAGCAAAAAAGCACTTGGGCAAAAACGTGCAAGTCTGCATGTTACTTGGGCTCGCCGCTGACACGCCGACCGTGCGCCGGCCTGCCAATCACGGGCGGCAGCAACAGGCGGCACATGGCAGCGGGCTGCGGGCGGCGCGCCCCGCTCCTTCGGCCGGGCCGAGCGGGCGGCCGGGGGGCCTGAGCAGAGAGCGAGCTCACGTGTGTCTGTCTCTTCAACCCTGCAGCAGGCATCTGGGCCGTGGACGCGCGGGGTCGAGAGACTGAGAGGGAGCGCCGTCCCGGAGAAGCTGACCTGCCAGGAGCCGAGTTCCAGAGGAAGCTGTGCCCCAACTTGCCCAACAGCGTGCGGCATCGCGAAAGCGCCCCGGCCTGCGCGGGGACCAGGGACGCCGCCGCCCTCTGCTTCTCTCTGAGGAGGACCTCCCCGAAAAAAAAAAAAAAAACCCAAAACAAAACCTCGCATCTTCACCTCTTCCCTCCCCTCCTCCCCGGCCGGCAGCGGCGGCCTGGCGGGCTCGTGCTCCGGGGTCCCTCCGGGGTCCCGCCGGGGCCTGCGCTGCTCCGTGACCCGTCCGCCGACGCCCGTTCCGAGCCCTGCCCCAGGCGCCGCCGAGTCTCGTCCTCCCGTGACGTGGATTTTTTCACTCGTCCGAGGCCACCACCCCTCCTTCCTTCCCCTCCCCAGCGGGGAGCGATCGGAACCCCAAGAAGTACCCTGGTCCGAGCACACCGCGCCAGTCAACCTGGCACGTCACGCACTCTTCCGAGCGCCGCGCCCCTGAGCGCTTCCCTGAGAGGCTCGGACGGGGCCGCCTCCCGAGCGGCCTTTTTTTTTTCTTTTTCTTTTTAACTGGCTCCGGCCAGGGGACTGCAGGGGAACCGCTCCCCCAGCCCGAGGTGGATGTTACCCGAGCCGCCGGGCCGCCGGGAGCTGTGAGAGGACTGCGCCCGGCCGCGCCGAGCCGCCGCACCAGTGCCCCGGGCGGCCGGAAGGGGGCCGCGGGCAGCGCTCCGGCCGGGCCCCGGCGAGGGGGCGGGAGAGGCCCGCGGGGGGCCCCCACTCGTCGCGGCCCCGGCCCATGCCTGCTCGTCCCGACCGCCGCGGTTGATGCGGCGCGCGCACCCCGCCGCTCGCACCGGCACCCGGGCCGCCTCGCTCCGCTTGGCCGCCCTCCAGCGCTCCGGCCTAGGTGAGCGTGCGGCGGCGGGCGGGGGGCGGGGGGCGGGCGGGGCTTGCTCGGCGCGGCAGGTGCGGGGCGCGGGAGGGGGAGGGGAGCGGGGGACGGGGTGGGCCGAGGCCGCGGCGCGTCGCAGGCCCCGCCTGCTGCCCCGCGCGTCCGGGGGCTGCCGGGGAGGGAAGGGGGGTGGTGGGACGGGCAGCTCGGGGCTGGGCGGCCCGGGTGGGCGATGTTCCGCGGCTGAGGACGACGGCCGAGGCGAGGGCTCCCGGCTCCCCCCTACCCACGCCCCCCGCAGTTGGCCTGGAGCGCCTCTGCCGTGACCCAGGTTGTGCACCCCACGCGAAAGATGGATTCTGGAGGATTCGGGGTTGGGGGTGGTGGGTGTTCCCCGAAGATGTGTGTGTGTGTGTGTGTGTGTGCCGGGGCGGCCCGAGAGCGTCCTTGGCTGGTACCGGCGGCGGGTTTTCGGGTGGCGGAGCCTGCGGTCGGCCTCGGGGTCGGGAAAGGCCGTGTGCGCGCGCGCCCGTGGAGAGAGGCGAAGCCCCCCGGGGGTCCGCCGGACGCCGTCCCTGGCCGGACCCCGAGTGCGCCCCGGCCGCGGGGGTCCCTCCCCACCGGAGTTCTTTTGAGAGCCGTGGTTAAGGGGAGGGGTGGGGAGAGGGCACTGCCACTTTAACAGTGGGGAAGTCCGCCCTCCTGAGGTAATGGTAACCTCAGCCTCCTCCCTCCTCCTGCCTGAGCGAGAGGGAGAGAAAACTTGTTTTCATTCATAACTTTTTCCTTTTCCTTCCTCTCCGTCAACTATTTATTCCGCGCTCCTCTCCGGGCGGCTTGCAGAGGGCGCAGCTCCACCGTGGCTGGCTGGCAATGTGGCGGCGACGCCTGGCTGCGGCCCCTGCCCCGGCGCACTCGGCCCCGGCGCTCAAGCCGCGTGTCCTTTAGAGAGTAGACGGGTGCTGGCTTAGACGCGGGCTCGCTCCGGACGCTGTGGGCGCCGCGGGTCCCAGCCGCAGCACAGTGTCCCTGGGGGGCCCCCCAGGGACCCTCAGGATGTGACGGGATTGCCCACGCAGGTATTCCGCTTGGCTTCGGGGTTTGGAGGGAGTGTGAGCGCAAGATGGGGACAAGAGGCTGGGGGCTGTCACCACGCACAGACAGGACCTTGCTTCACAGATTTGGTTTTGTTGGGGCGGGGGGAGTGGTGATGTGGGGTGTGTGTGTATGCATGCAGGCGCGCGCGTGCTTGGTTCTGGCGGCAGTGGTGGTAAGTGGTGGTCATTTCATTTACCCGCCCGCGTGAACTTGGTTTCAACCATCGGAATTGGAGTTGTGCTCGGGTCGGATGACACGGTTTAAGTCCCTCTGCAGATCTCCCTGTCAGATAGAACCTTGGGAGCTTTAGGCCCCCTTTGCTCTCAAAGCCCCGCTGGGGTGCAAAGGTGGTGCCCGCGGGACTAAAGGCGGCAGGCCGGGACGTGTCGCTGCTGGTGTGTGCGGGGAGAGCTGAGTAAAGGAGCAGGATGCACAGAGCGCCCTGGGGGACCTAGGTGGCCCCGGGAAGGAGCCGCTTTGCTTCCACCCTGCTCCTTACGGGGCGTTTGGGGCACGGAGTCCTGTTGGAGAATGGGCTCCTTTTCCTTCCTCCTGTTGAATTGAATCTGTATGCTTGGAAGGTGTTTGTGTGAAAAAGATTTCAGTTTGTCATAGAAGAGACGGTTTTACCTTTGGTAGTTAATTTTTTTTTTATGAAGAATACATTATAGATTAATACTGTATGGTTCTTACAGAAACATAAAATGCTTGTGTTTATCAGGATGTCAGTGTATTCTATCATAAGAGGTGCATTGATTCAGAATTGGCCATGCTTTTGAAAATCAAGGCCTGTCATATAAATGCAGATTTTTAAAGTAGGGGAAGTACGGATAATTAAGATGGCCAGGCTCTTCCTCCCCACCCCATACTTCTTTAAGGGCTAACACTTATTTGTGTGTAAAAGTTATCCTGTGATGTGAGTGAAGCCTTATTTAAACTCGTTTTTTAAAGTCACTGCATGATTTCAAACATGAATGCTCGTAGCATTCACAGGATTGTGCTTTGGATTTTGTGTATGTGTTGTAGAGGGTTTTACGTGCCAAGACTCCTGTAGTCCATACGTATTCATTTTTGTGTCTCATTGATGAATAGTGAGTGAGTATTAAAAATCCCAGTTTCTACTGAAAATGACTTGAGATCCCAGTTGGGTTTTGAATCTCTTGAATGTTTTTGAAAATGCCTTCCCTAATTTCCTCATCAAGCCGGTGCTTGTAATAGCACAAAAAGACAACAGCACCAAATTCATCCTTGATTTTTTTTTTTTTAAAGTGGACATCTACTTTCATGCAAAAACATTGATGAACTGAACCTGAACTTTGTTCGGATGAGATCTTGAACCGTGCTCAGAGTCAATCTTCCGTAAGAAGGCATGCTCCGTTTTAATTGTTAGAGTCACAGACAGGAAGGCATTACTTCCTCTTGATTCCACTTTTAAAAAGCTGGAAAAACTTCTAGTTTTTATGGACTCTTGCTTACATTCTTCTCCTATGATGTGGTCCACAGCCTCTCTTGGAATTGGACTCTGGCCAGGACCCCAGCATCATTGTAATCCACTGGTGAAGGAGAGCATAACCAGGTGGTTTAGGCAATTTGTGACTTGACAGGATTTTCCCCCCAACCAAAAATATTTCCTGTCATTTATTTTCTGAGTTTTTTCTCATTTTGGTTTCCTTTTTTAGGATTTCAGATGCATGCCAGGTTTCTGCTGATTGCCAGAATTCGAGATCACTACACATGGATCCCCAAACCCAGCATGGCAGTGGCAGTTCGTTAGTCGTGATCCAGCAGCCCTCTTTGGATAGCCGGCAGAGATTAGACTATGAGAGAGAGATTCAGCCTGCTGCTATTTTGTCCTTAGACCAGATCAAGGCCATCAGAGGCAGCAACGAGTACACAGAAGGGCCTTCCGTGGTGAAAAGACCTGCTCCCCGGACTGCACCAAGACAAGAAAAGCACGAAAGGACTCATGAAGTCATACCGATTAATGTGAATAACAACTACGACCACCGGCCCACGAGCCACTTGGGACATGCAGGACTCGCCAGTAGCTCCAGGGGCCCCATCTTGAGCAGATCCACCAGCACCGGAAGTGCAGCCAGTTCTGGGAGCAACAGCAGTGCCTCTTCTGAGCAGGGACTCCTAGGAAGGTCTCCGCCAAGCAGACCCATCCCCGGCCACAGGTCAGATAGGGTGATCCGGACACAGCCCAAGCAGCTGATTGTGGATGACTTGAAGGGCTCCTTGAAGGAGGACCTATCGCAGCACAAGTTCATCTGTGAACAGTGTGGGAAGTGCAAGTGTGGAGAATGTACAGCCCCCAGGACCCTGCCATCCTGTTTGGCCTGCAACAGGCAGTGCCTCTGTTCTGCCGAGAGCATGGTGGAGTACGGAACCTGTATGTGCCTAGTCAAGGGCATCTTCTACCACTGCTCCAACGACGACGAGGGCGATTCCTACTCGGATAATCCTTGCTCCTGTTCGCAGTCCCACTGCTGCTCTAGATACCTTTGTATGGGAGCCATGTCCCTGTTCTTACCTTGCTTACTCTGTTACCCTCCCGCGAAGAGTTGCCTGAAGGTGTGCAGGAGCTGTTACGACTGGGTCCATCGCCCAGGGTGCAGGTGTAAGAACTCCAACACTGTGTATTGTAAGCTGGAGAGCTGCCCTTCCCGGGGTCAGGGTAAACCGTCATGATTTTTGGAGGTGGGTCGGACGGCCTGAGCTTCAGAGAAGATGCTGTTAGATAACTGATTTTCGCTCCTTCAGAGTTGTTTCCCGTTTCCTGCCTTCCCTTGCCCTGTTGCCAGGGTTTGACTCATGGATTTTGCTCTTCTCGCTGGGCTGATCAGCACTGAGAGTGGACTGGGAAACTGCACCTGGTTCCCGCTGAGGGCAGGAGCCTACATCCGCTCCCAGGGTACAGAGAGCAGGCAGGCTTCTGGGTAGCCTCTGTGTTCTGCAGGCAACTTTGCAAAGTTGTGTGTGTGTGTGTGTGTGTGTGTGTGAACCTACACATAACCCAGACTGCAGTGGTTTCGCACCGTTGGTACCTGGGTGCTATGAAAACAGGGAGGTTGAAACAACGTTTGAATTGCTTTTAAATAAGCTATGTGGAAAATATGTCCCCAAGTAAGGCTATCCTCTTGGCGTTGGATCCCCAAATAGAATGGGAGATAAATTTTTGTTATAACCTAATTTTTTTTTCTTTAGCCTCTGCCCTCCTTCTTTTTGTCCTTCGAAGTTCTCGCCCTTCAGTTTTGGTGTTATCTTATTCTGAAGATTCCAGGTGTTATACTTGGTTTTGCTCTCTTCTTTCTTCATGATTTTAGATTGGCTTTCTCTTGTAAATCTTTACATTGGAGATATGTTGGTTGTATCTTGCTTATCCTTATTCTAGTTTGTGTATTTGTGAAGGACTCGGCTGCCTTCCACATCCCATGTTCTTCATCAAATTTTTGTTGTCATTAAGGGCACTTGGATAATTATAGCTGATCAATTTATGGATGTCACAGAACTATGCTCCCCACAGCGATCTGGCTGCTAGGTGGTCCTTTTGGCCCCCTGGTTAGTTAACAGCTGATTAATTCTAATCTTTTCTGTATTCATTGCCTTAACCACAAGTTGTGGTGCTTTTTGTATATTTTATGTATAAATCACAAAGTTGAATTCTGACTATTTTTAAGACAAAAGTCTGTTAAACTTTTTTATTGTAAAGAATATTTATTATGCGAATCTATTATTTTATGATATTTATTACAAAAGACTGTTCAAATGTACTCATGTCTGAATATAACAAAATATCAATACTTAATGGAAAATAAGGTGACACGAAGAAAGTACATATGTTAACTATAATGCAGAAAATATATTAATTAATGAAACTGTCTCTGGATTTCTTCATTTATTAACTTGTGCTGTTACAGTGACTTATGTTATTTTGCCTTTTTTTATTTTTTCAAATACCTGTTTTACCTCTTTCTCTCAAGATACTGAAAGTATATGCAGGTAAGCTCAAATTATCTGCTAGATGTTAACTGGAAAGTACATTAGTGAAAATTTTGTAATCCAAATTCTTTTTCAAAAATATCTAAGTGGTTTACTTTATAATGTTAAAAAAGATAAATATATATATATATATATATATATATATTATTCCTTGATTTGGTTACTGCATAGGCATAAGGTCTTGAGTATATCCTATTCTTTTTTTGGAAATACAAAATTTTGAGTATAGCATAGTTTTGTGAAATCAGTCCTATCTATATACATTCTTAGCAATGTTTTTCTGCTTTTTTTTTTGTTTAATCAGCAGTTAATCTTCAGCAAGACAAGAATTTAATTCTATAGACTTGCTAGGAGTCTGCTATTGTCACTGTAATAAATGCTAAGAGTGTAGAAAGAGACTAGTTCACATTATCAGAGATGTTTTCAAAATATTCCTTCCCTTTCTTTTGCTTTCACAGATCTGCAGTGTGATGTGATTAAGTTACACTTCACATTTGGACTTAAAATATAGAAAAAGTTTGTATTTTGAAATTTGATTTTTCAGTCTGGTAAAACCACAGCATTTTCTGGGTCTGATAGCATTTTGATCATGTGAGTTCTCACCTATGGAGTCTGTAATTCTGTTGAATTTTTGTTCATGTGAATCCTCAGACTCCCTATAATTGATAGATTTGATAATAATTGTGTGCATTTAAGAATAAGAGTTTGGAACCAGGTTATCAAAATTTAGCCAGGTTTTTGTTTTGGTTACTATTCTAGAAGGATTGCCTATTAGTTTTTGAGAATATTGTCAGTTTGTAAGTAGGCTTTGAATTAATTTTATACAGACAATTGGTAGAAACCTGTAATTGGTAGAAACCTGTTTTAATGCTTTCCCATCAAACCCCTTACTCCTCTGTGCTCTGAAAGCAGGAGGGTGTTTTAATGTTAGTGTTCTGAGTGCTGTATGACTCATTCTAAATGTGAGCTTGAGTATCCATATCCAAGTGGTGATATCACTTGTACCTTGATATTTACACTGTCTCATCAAGAGTGGTACCTTAATGAATTTATAAACACAGACTCCTTCAAAATACTATATAGTTGTTTTTCTTTATTATTCAGACTCTTTATGTAATTAGGAGTTGGTATAAAAACATGTATTTTGTATGACCAACCAGACTAAGAAGCAGTAAATTTCATTGGATGTAATTTCTAACTTAGGGGAATGAGGTACTGTGTCGTTTTAACCTGGTGATAGGCAGGATACAGGAAAATTACAAGGTTAGGATGGTGGTCTGCTGCTCATGGAGCTGGCTGTGCATGTGCCCTGGCAAAATGTCAGCCCAAACTTGGAAGTAACAATGGGTGAGAGGGTCAGATTTCTAACAGAAGCTTGTCAGATGGCAAAGCATAAACATGTTGATTCAAAACTTCCTCCTTTGTGATAGTTTAAACCCAGGAGGGAAATAATAGGGTGTGTCCTCAAGTGCTTATGAGTCTTAAGCTTTTGAAACTAACACTGATTGTCATTTAAAGTGCTAAGACTCTGAAAGAGTCAGCTGAAATTTCTTGGAGTGCCGCTGCCATGTATTTACTATTGGTGAGTGAAAATCACCAAGTAGATGGTCTAATCTTTATTCCTCTCTTTCTCAACCAGCACAGCTTGAGAGAACGGATGCTATGTTACCAGGTTCTTTTCCAGTATATTTTCAGCCTGCCAATTTTTTTTCAAAGCAGTCTTACTTATTTAGATAACTTAATCGTGAATAAAGTCAATGCAGGATTTCTGTAATTGAATGGTTTCCTGTTAGCGAAGTTTATAAAATACAGTTGAGCAAAAAAATGAAACATGAAAAAACATTTTCTTTTTGTGATAGCCTAAGGTGAACTTTAAATATTGGCTAATTATTATGGTTTCGAAATCCAAAACATAGAACATTCCAGTGATTAACCAGAAAACAGTGGTCTTAAAAGTGAAAGGAAATGAATCGAAAACTGATTGTTTTTACCCTGAAATTGATATTGGAGCCAAGTACAAAAGATTAACTTCTGGAGGCTTGATTTAATTTTTGAGATTGTCTCTTTTTCCTAAATGTTTGCATTTATTGATAGGATAACATATTGTGTGGCAGATTTTATTTATAACTTTTAAAAATGCAGTCTCTTAAGAACATATTAAAATACAAAAATAAGCAGGCACATTTAGATCCATTCTTTGATACCTACCGTCCCCTATAAATATTTTCTTTCACTGCAGTAGAGTTCAATGTTTTTAAACATTTTGGAAGCAAATCTGTATCCTTCCAGCCAATTGCAAGTCTTCCCCCATCCTCCACCCCATTATTCCACTGGTAATCCAAAGAACCAAGTATTTAACTGACAATGGTTCTAATAATTTTCTCACTTTGTTGCAAAGCCATTTTTTTTTTAAAAGATTTCTTTATTTTTATTGCAAAGTGACCACAACAGCCAGAGCTGAGCTGATCCAAAGCCAGGAGCCAGGAGCGTCTTCCATGTTTCCCACATGGGTGCAGGGTCCCAAGGCCTTGGACAATCCTCGACTGCTTTCCCAGCCCATAGGCAGGGAGCTGGATGGGAAGTGGTGCAACTGGGACACAAACCATTGCCCATATCCCAGGTGTGCAAGGTGAGGATTTGGCCACTGAGCCATTGAGTGGGACTCAGAAGCCATTTTTCTATGTTTATTGAATACTTACTTTGAATTTTAATTTTATATATAGTGGAATTCTGGAGAGAAATCTCCAAGTGTATGTTAAAGTTTCTGTACTGTGTATGAAATCTAAGAGGTCACTAGTTGCTTAATTTAAATTCTGAAGTGTATTGTAGCTCACATATCAAGAGCAGTCTCTAGAAGAGGCTGGTTTTCTGTATTTTCATAAAGTTGCTTGAGTGATATTAAAGGCAGTTTGGAGCTGATTTGTTTAACCCAATACCCTCATTGAGAATAGAAACAAAAGCAATGCTTTATAAGATAAAAAAGTAGGTTTGAACTAGTACTCTCAATGAGTAACAGACCTTCCCGTCTTAGCATCCAGCTCAGTGCCTTGATTCTGCACATTCGACCTGATCATTTCATTGTCAGAAAACTTTCATTCATAATGAGTATATCTGACCATAATTTAGGAAATGTTTTTCTGCGTGTGTTATTTGCACTTAGCCATCAGAAATAAACAGGAAATGACTTAATTGCCATGATTATTTTTCATACATGAATATTAAAGTAACAGCTTAATTTGGAAGCTGAGCATGTGTGTTCTGACCAGATTTATATGGTAAGAGTAGAACAGATCTCACCAGTTTGTAAAATATAATAACATCTTGGCATCTAGATTTCAGAACTTGTGTGATAATAGTTCTCACCATTTTTTGGGGGGTGGGGGTGCTGTGTTAGGATTGCAATGATTTAAAAAACAGTTTCAGATACTCTATTTTGCATTGCTATATATGTTATCTTTCTGACTCAAACTGCATACAGTAATGGTTTTATTTGCAAAGAACATCCAAGAACTTAGAATTGTTTGGAACTAAATATTTAGGGGAGGAATACTGGAAGCATTGTTCATTCATAGTCTAAGAGCTTGTTTTGATATCATAAACATAAAATCATAGTTTCCATGTAGAAATAAACCTACATACCATCTAATCCAGTATTTTAAAAATGAGAAATCAAAATTCAGAGAAGTTATTTGTCATAAAGTCATGACCTGGTTGTCAAAATAAAGAACTTTATTTAAAAAATACTCTAGTTACTTCCTATGTACATACAGTAAGTGGAGGAAAAGTTGCTGATTGGGGAAAGTGGGAGGGCTGAATAAATGTTTTAGGTTATTTATACATTATAAAATTGGAAAAATTTGCTAAAACCCAATAGGTTAATGGCAGTCCACAGCAGCAAGTTTGTGCCATAAGAAAGCCATACAAAACTAGTGTAAGAAAACCAGGTTTTCAGAGAAAATCCTAGTTTTAGTAAGGCCAGCAGTTCTCAGCCTCAGCTGTTCTATATATTAAAAACACCTAAGAGCAAAAGGCACCACCAGCAACAATGAACAAAGCTTTGGCCTGTATAGTGCCCCAGGCCAGTAAAATCTTTGGGAGTGAACCTGGGATTTTGTTTAGTTGTAAAACCACCTCATGATTCAAAGGCTTAGCCAGTCAACAGCCTCTAAGATGATAGGTATATTAGGGAAATTGTGGGAGACCAAAATGGCAGAGATTAAAGTCAGGAAGCCTGTTTGAGGGTGGAAGGCCAGAGATGTTTCAGGCCTTGAAACAAGCCTGTAAGGTTAGAAATGGTGAGAAGCCCTCCAGATAGACAGTCCATGAGACTGGGTTCTTTGTGGATTTGCTGTGGGGAGAAAACTGAAAATAATACTGAGGTTTTGGACCTTGGAAAATGGGAGAAGCTGGTACTGTTGAATGAGTAGAATTACTTTGGGGTATGTGGGATTTGAACAGTTATGAGTTTTGTTGGAATAAACAAGGTGCAGGTGGAGTTACTGACAGATCATTAAGCCAAAAGGGCTTAAGAGGTTAGTGATGCTGTGTCATTCAGATGGGGAGGTAAGGGGCTGTAGTGAGGATGCCTAGGAAGAGTACAATTAGCAGGCTAGGGACAGACCTTGGGGAACCCCTGTTTGGTGGGACGCAATAGATAAAAGTGATTAATAGCATAGGTCTCCAGAATGCGATGTGTTTTCGAATTCTAAGGAGACTTTCACAATGGAAATTAGTAATCAGATGCAAAAAGCTTTGGATCACAATACATCTGGTGGGTGGTGGTCAGGTGAAACTGGTGAAAGCCAGCTTGTCTGGGATTCGGCAATGGGTGGATAGTGAGAATGAGCAGCTTTTGGCTGTTTGAGATCAC